CTAGTAGTAAGGCCAGGAGCCCCTTGTAGCGTCCTTGCTCCTAGTAGTAAGGGGAACTCATATTTTTCTAGGATTTTTTTTCGTTTTTTTTTGATTTTTTTTCACGTTTAGGCATTAGGTATCTTTGTTGGCTTCTGGTAGCTTTTGCTAGCTTCTGTTGGCTTTTGCTGGCTTCCGGTGGCTTTTACTGGCTTTTGGTGGCTTTTGTTGGCTTCTGTTGGATTTTGGTGGCTTCTGGTGGCTTTTGGTGGCTTTTGGTGGCTTCTGGTGGATTTGTTTGTTGGCTTCTGGTGGCTATTTTGTTGGCCTCTGGTGGCTTTTGGTGGCTTCTGGTAGCTTTTGCTAGCTTCTGTTGGCTTTTGCTGGCTTTTGTTGGCTTCTGGTGGCTTCTGGTAGCTTTTGCTAGCTTCTGGCGGCTTTTGCTGGCTTCTGGTGGCTTTTACTCGCTTTTGGTGGCTTTTGTTGGCTTCTGTGGGATTTTGGTGGCTTCTGGTGGCTTTTGTTGGCTTCTGGTGGCTTTTAGTGGCTTCTGGTAGCTGTTGCTCGCTTCTGTTGGTTTTTGCTGGCTTCTGTTGGCTTTTGGTGACTTGTGTTGACTTTCGAAGGCTTCTGTTGGCTTTTGTTGCTTTTTGCTTTTGTGGCTGTTCGCTATCCTTGCTTTGCTTATGTGATGCAGGAAGGAAGAAAGGAAGGAGGGAAGGAAGGAAGGAAGGAAGGGAAGGGAAGGAAAGAAGGCAGCAAGAAAGGAAGGAAGGAAAGAAGGTGAGCACTTGCAGGTGGCCAGCTTGCGGAGAAACAACTATCATTTTGGAGACACGAGCCTGAGGGAAGGCGCCCACAACAGGACCAGAAAAAAATTCCCCAAAAAAACGGAAAAACTCATTTTAAAAAAACGCGGCCGTAGTAAGGCCAGAGCCCCTTGTAGCGTCCTTACTCCTAGTAGTAAGGCCAGGAGCCCCTTGTAGCGTCCTTGCTCCTAGTAGTAAGGCCAGGAGCCCCTTGTAGCGTCCTTGCTCCTAGTAGTAAGGCCAGGAGCCCCTTGGAAGCGGCTTGAGCGTAAGCGCTTCAATACAAGCTTTCGTGTCAAAGTCAGGCTTTGAGCTATGTCATGCAGCAAGCAAACCCATTCATACAGATCATCTTGTCTTGCCCCATTTCAGCCTTCCTGCTGGGTCATTTGAGGCGGAAGAATGCGCAAGGGAAGCTGGTGAGACTTGACAATCTCCAGTGTATTCCCTGCATTCTCAAGGGACGTGGGGATGCCGTGTATGTTGCCCTTATCGACAAGCAACTTTTCAGACGAGTTCTATGGCTACATCGATGTCGCCAGCTTGAGATGGATCAATTCGGCCATTCAGAGGGTCCCTTTTCACCGAGCGACCCAAGGAGCACGTGGCACGTGGCGTGTGAACGAATGACAGACCAGCTAGCGGTGTCGGTTCTTAGGGACGTACGACAGCTGTGTGACAGCTGCGTCGAGCGGAGAGAATATCAATGTTTGCTTTGTACTTGGAGCAGGAAAGACAGACTTTCAAATTTGTACTCTAGACTTTGTTTGTCCTTCCAGTCTGTTTTGATTTGTTTCCTGAACTTGTGAGCTGCGAAGCGTTCTGTCAAGGTAGAGGTCCTGGTGGAGTCTGTGATGACAGACAAGGATTGTTTGCCGGCATCGTTTCTCCGATGCATGTGTCAGAGTTAAGAAGGCAGATAAGATCTTGAATCAAGACCTTTTGTAAACAGTTTTATTGGAAGCATCACCTGACTTCCACATCATCGGCTGCTTGTTCTAACATGGTGTGTATGCAGGCAACAGTTTTAATAGCTCAGGCAATAGATACACCCAGTCTCACCCTTTCTGTTTGTTGTGGAATCAGTGGAATGCAACTTCTTTTTTGCCCATCCTGTTGGAAAATTGATTGCCCAAGATGATCTTGGTCAAGACGTTGTTCAAGAATAGCCAAGATGGCGGGCGAATGAATTTGTTCTCGTGACTTACCACTAGCTTCTTGTTACTAGTAGCGAGGCACCTGTTACTACTAGCGTGGCACTTGTTTCTAATAGCAAACATTGTTACTACTAGTAAGGCACTTGTTACTGAGACCGCAGCTACCCATCTCACGACATCTCCAGACAACATCTTTGACGAGTGCAGACCATGCCACAATGTCCACTGCCCATTGCATTCAACAGAATACTTCTAAGTTTCTATTGGTCCTGTAGACCCCTTTGTACAGTAATGTCCACACCTCCCAAACAGTTGTTTCAAACTGCCAAGTAGTGGCCAAGGACTTTTTGTTTGATCTTTTGGGGGGAGCTTGGTGAATGGGAAAGGACATCAAATGTCAATATTTTCCTTTTTTGGGGAATGTGGACAATTGGGAATGAATTCAATTGCCCAGGACAGGAACATGAAAGGTGATACGTCAATTTTCCTTAAGGATTCGGAATTGGGCAATCTAACGGGAGAGGCAAACTTCGAGAATCCAATGAGAGCACTTGCAATTGCAATTGAACTTCAACCACTTTTTTCTTTGGCATTTAACCTTCATCAAGTGCCGAGTCGTGGGGATGCCTTTTGTGAGTTGTTATTGTGTGTTGCTATGTGGGATAAACAAGGGCTTGATACAGCCTGCCAATATGTTTTTGCATTTGGTTGATTCCTTACTCCACACTTTGCAAAAATCATGCAGATCATAAAGAATAGATTGAAGACTTGGACTCGATTATGTTTGAGCAAGGCCAAAAATTAACCTCCCAAGATGAACTAAGTAAAGGCCCATATGTAACTTGGGCGTAAGCAAAAACCTGAAAAGCGTAAGGTAGCGTAAGGGAGTTGTGAGACATGCATGTTGCGTAAGCTTGCCATGTGATTGTGTTTTCATTAGTAGATTCTTAGCGCGCACACTCTGACACTTGTATTCAGTTAACTCAGTTACCACGGTGGGAAGGATGGCGGTGGAACAGCAAGGTGAAATGTCCAGGCATTTGAAGGTGTTTGAACATAATTGTTTCAATCGCATGACTGCAGCGGCCAACTCAAAGTCAGCGGAAAGCGGCTGAAGGAAGCTGGTTGTGGGGACTAGCATGTGAAACCACCATGAATCAAATCGAAAGTGGAAAAGCTTGAGCAACAGTTTCTGGTGCAGGTACGTCAGCAAGCGTCCTTGCTGATATCAGCACATCCTGAAGAGCCTCTTTGTTAGATGCCCTCTCTTCAGGTGTGGGGCATCCCCCTGCTTGTGGAGAAATGGCGGTGGAAGACCCTTTGTCCAGGGTGGGACACACACACACACACTTCGAACTTGGATTTTCAGTTAATGCAAGTATCACGTTGGT